AGGGCAGGGCTTTACTATATGGTCCAGGCCAGAGGTGATATGATCTGAACCGGACTTGTTACACCTCATGTGTTCTACCACTCCTTGCCGTGGAATTTAGAGTCTAGAACAGCAAGTGGCTCAAGAAGAAGGAACAAGCCAAGCGCTGAAAGAGGAGGCCCAGCAGAGGGAGACAGCCTTGCAACAGCTTCGCACGGCTGTGAAGGAGGTGAGCAGCATCAGCTAGGCCTCATGGTACTCTCTCTGTGTACCCTCCCCATCCCTACTCCAACATGAGCCCCATGTTTGAAAGGTACCTGCTGAGGGTTTTTTGGCAGAGGAAAAAGAAGGGACATTGCATCATCCTTTATAGTAAAGGTCCTAAGCCTGTCTTAAGAGTAGCCATAATTACGCAGGAATGCATTTTGCATGTGGAAAGTCATTCTCTCCCCCTTTGTCGTCTTGCAGCCACAGATTTGTGGGATTGGGAAGGGGTGGGCTCAAGACTAAGGGTTTGGTGGTCCTCATGGAGTAAACAGAGCTGTCATCGGGGGCACCAAGTTCACTGGCCAAGCGCCTAGGAAGGAGTCTCCCAGAGCAAGGATTGTCACATGGCCCAGTGTTGGTATAGGGCTGGGACTGGAAGAGGAACTCTATTCAGTGTCTTTAAAATAGAACAAAGGTAGGGAGGGAAGGAGAGTGGTTTAAGCTGTTCAGGGTGAGAGGAGGAAAGAGACACAGGTATACATGAAAACTGGTCTATATAGTGAAGCCCGACTCCACTGAGGTGAAGGTTCAAAAAGGAAGGATACATTCCAGCACTGTCTCCTTCAGGTCCCCAGCTTCCCCAGCTCCCCACTCCAGTGGCCACTAGCTGTCATGTTGTCTTTATTGCTCCCTTTATTCCTCTGACACACTCCGATCAGACTGGCTGGTGGCCACTTTTGTCAGGGTGGCAGGGAGAGATTGAAACCAGTGTCTCCTCAGATTTCACAGTTCACGTTAAGCCTTCTCTAATAGCCTGGCTAACAGAGTTGGCTGAGGGACTGGCTTCAGATAGAGTTCCGAGGGGTGGGAGGATCTTCTCCGATTCCTGAACAGAAACCTGGAGGCTGATGACTCAGAGCCTGCTGGGGAGTGGTTTCCTCTCCAGTTTGGGAGCCCTGTGGGCCCTACCTACCTACAGGAGGAACTAGGCCTGGTATTGGGAAGGGTGTGGGAATGCTCAGTCGGTAGGGATGGGGAGGGGGAGCATCCTCTGACTCACAGCCTCCCCTTCACACACACATATATACATATATCCACACATATCTACATATATGTCACTGCCCTCTGAGAGTTTGTGTTTTGCAAAGTAGATGTTCAGTAAATCTATTTTTGAAACAGGCATCTTTTTGGGCTCCCTGGGTACAGGATAAGCAAAAAGGCAGATGCACTGCCTTTCCTGGGCCTGGGTTAATGTTCTTGCCCATATGTCCGCTCAGCTTTCAGCGCAAAACCAGGACCTGATTGAAAAGAATCTGACGCTCCAGGAACACCTGCGCCAAGCTCAACCAGGGTCCCCATCTTCACCAGACACGGCCCAGCTGGCATTTGAGCTGCACCAGGAGTTGGCCAGTTGTCTTCAAGATCTGCAGGCTGTCTGTAGCGTTGTGACCCAGAGCGCCCAGGGCCATGATCCCAATCTCTCCTTGCTCCTAGGCATTCACTGTGAGTTCTCAAGCCAGCCCGGGGCTCAGGAGAGAGTGGCTTTCATTCTCTCATCCAGTTTTCCCATCCTGTGGTAATGTGGGAGCAGGGCTACCAAGGCCTGGTCACTGCCCTCTGAGAGTTTGTGTTTTGCAAAGTAGATGTTCAGTAAATCTATTTTTGAAACAGGCATCTTTTTGGGTTCCCTGGGTACAGGATAAGCAAAAAGTGGCCCTTAGGCAGCAAGTTTTCAGCCCACTGTCCCCAGCTGCTTTTTTAAAAGTGCTGTGTCTCAAGACCATGGGCCTCAAGGTACTGCCCCCTCCACCTGAAAGTGTCCCTTGACTAACATCCTCTCAAAATGCTCTCCTCCCCAGCTGCACAGCACCCAGGGACTCCACTAGATTTACAGAAGCCAGATGTAATCAGGAGGAAACTAGAAGAGGTTCAACAGCTGCGCCATGACATCGAGGATTTAAGGACCACCATGTCAGATAGATACGCCCAGGACATGGGAGAAAACTGTGTCACACAATGAGGAATGCTGGGCATGGGACAGGTTGATCTGGTCTGCTGAGAGCCCAGACCAGCAGGTCCTTCCCTGACAATCTCTTGTCTCCTCTTTGCTGCTGTTCCCAGAGAAGGTGTGGAAGGGAGGTAAGAGCCTACATCTGGGGCAGGGGCTAACTAGGGAACTGTGCCTGCCTTGTCCCACATTGGCTTTGCCTTGTTGGATTGCATGTGTCCTGTCATCCTGATTCACTCTTTGAGGGTGAGTTACTAATTAACTTTTGCAGGTTACTTGCTAAGTCTTCACAGACTGTTCCCAGCCCCAGGCTGATGTCAAAGGCAAGCAGGTTGCTCACCTCCCTTCTCCATCCTTTGAGGTGGATCCTCGTTCATTCCCACTCCATACCTTGGTCCTGCTGATGCCCGGAGTTCAGTAGAGGGGACTGGAAAGCCTGAGTACCACTAACAATGGCCATTGAGAATTCTCAGGCCCCATGTGCCAGCCTTCCTGGGAGCTGAGCTTTCTGGATTTACTTAGGCCCAGTTCCACTGCTTCTTCCTCAGGGCTCTTGTTCTTACAGACACCTCAGGGTGATCTATTCATTAGCACAGTACCCGCGATAATTGGAGGCTTAGGGATTATAGCCAGGACTCCTTCATCTGTGCCATTTTATAGGAGACCCGACTCTCCAGCTGCCCGATGGCCTTGGCTCACTTCTTTGTTCTCAGGCTGTCCAGGTAGCCCCCTTCTTGGACTTTGAGTGCAAACTCTTCCCTTCTTCCTTGTGGTTCTGGGTTTAGGCAGGATTTCCCCCCAGAATACCACAGGTCAATTGTCAAGCTGCTCACCCCTTTACCCTGGGGCTGGGGCCGGGGCCAATGCCCAGCTCTGATTTGTGCCTCTCACTTGTTGGGGGCGGGTGGTGGGAGGGATGTTCTCTTTCCTGCTCTGGGCTCCTTGAGAGTTGAGTACCCAGTACAGGTTAGCTTTAAGTTACAGCTTTCAGTGTTTTCTGGGTTTTTTGTTTGTTTCTCTGGGGCCTTTGAACCCTGTGCTTTGTTGTCTCTTGCCTCCTACTTTAGGGAGCATCTCACAGTTGTTTGTATCTATGCCCGGCTGGCCCCAGGCCACCTAGAGAGCTGGAGCCAGGCCAAGCCAAGGCTATGTCTAGGTATGGGGAGCACTGAGCAGTTTAGGAGTCTACAATCAACCACCGTGAAATTCTTGCTATGCTTTGGGCTGTCAGGGCAACATCCTAGACCTCACTCCGGGGCCTGAATGAGACTCGTTAAGTGTTTTTACAAGTTGTGTTTTATTTATGCAGTGACTTATCCCTTCCATTCAGAGCAGCCCCACCCAGCCATCCCCTCAGCTGCTGGGCTCCTGCTTCCTCTCCTGAAAGCAGAACCGCCTGGTTGGTCTCCACCCTGTGTTGGGAGCCCAGCCACCATGCTCACGGGTATTTTCCTTATAAAGTTTATAAGCAGTTATTTATATGAATTCTTGTTATGTCAACTGGTTTGTATTGCCTATTTTGATTACAAAATAAAAATTTAAGGTTCCTCAGTATTCCATTGTCTTCCATCGCCACCATCCCCTACTCCACCCCTTATTTTGGCTTGTTGAAGCCAAAGCCTGGGAGTTCAGCCAAGGTCCCCAGACAGCAGCAAGGAGGGAACTTTGGCAGGTCCAGCCTCCTGTCTGTATCTCTATTCTCCTCTGTTGTTTTATGGGGAAAATTAGATTTCTTCCCACACAACTTTCTATTGAGCCAAGCTGCCCTGAGTCATAGAGCAAAATCACCATTGGAAAGTGTTTCGGTCCTCAGAAGTCAGCTATCTCTGGGTTGCTGTGAGGAAGTGGCTTCCCCAGAGCAAGACAGGGCGCTGTTTGCTTTGGGGAGCTAGGGTTGTCTTCCTGGGGCGCTCTCCAAGCCCTGGATCTGGGGGCACTTCTGAGGGGTGATTTACCCAACTCTAAACAGATTGCAGTCTCCAAAGTTGGGTTGGTTACTGGAGTCTTGCTCCCTCTGAACCCCGTGAATTTTCACTGAGAGTAGGAGTGGTTTCAGAGTGCCATCTGCAGCTGGAGTTGAGGTTGAGCTGGGCCACCCGAAGACGAGCTGTGGATGTTTAGCGAGGAGTCCTGACACCAACCTCTGCCTCCACCCTTTCCAGAGCTAGCAGCCTCTTACCTTGGCCTCCATCTGGCTCCTTGAGGGTGTGGCCCTGTCTCCTGCCACCACCCTTCCTCGTCTAAACCTGCGTGAGAGGAACTTAGGGGAAAATCTCTAAGTACTGGCTGTCCCTGCCTTGGTGTGCCTCCTATCCCGACAGGCTAGCCTTATGTGGGTGTCCGCTGGGAGACTGGGGCAGGGTCCCTTGGAGCCAGGTTCCCTATCCTGGGAACTTTAGGTTTGAAAACAGCCTTCGAAATTCAGATTCAAAGCCCGGAGCTGAGCTGCGCTGTGCTGGCGTGGCACCGGGGGTGGGTAGTTTGAGTGCAGCAAACGCAGGCGAGGCTGTGGAGGCGGCCTTTGCCAAACCCTCGCCCCTGCTCTCCCGGCCTTTCCAGCCATCGGTCCTCCGCAGCCTCACACTGCGAGCCCAGATGAGAGAAGGGCCAAAGCGGGTGGCCCTGCGTGAGACTGGGGTCCCCTGCACGCCCGGCGCAGAGGGGGAGGGTAGGGGACCAGCAGAGAGCGGGGCGGGGTAGCTCAGGCCCGGCCCCGGCCCCGCCCCTGCCCGCGCCGCCCATTGGTCCCGAGAGCGGTGACTCGCGGGCTGAGCAGGAAGGAAACCGCTCCCGAGTGGCGGCGTTGTCTCCAGGCCGTGCAGCTGCAGCTACCGCCGCTCGTCCGCCAGTCCGTCCACCCACAGCATGAGCGGCCTGCGTGTCTACAGCACGTCGGTCACCGGGTCACGCGAAGTGAGTGCTCTCCCGGGGCCCACTTTGGGGGAGAGCGTGGGCGCCCGGATCAGCCCCTAGGCGAGGGCGGGGCGGGGGCTGCGAGGCTCCCTGCACGGCCTCCTGGGTCGGGTCCCACGCGGGCCTCACGGGCCCCATCCTGAAAGCCTTCTTCGGGCGTCCTGGTGCCTCAGCAGCCCCAGCAATAGCTGCTCTCGCCCATCCTCCGTCACTGGGACGCCCATTTTCTGCACCCCCGCTACCACGGCGACCCAGACCGCATCTTTATCTTGCCCTTCCTCTTCCACCGGGTGTGTACCTGGGGTGGGGTGGCCCCTTCCCATCCTCCACCCAGGCCTGCCCTGCCTTCCCATATCCGAGCTCCTGGCTCTACCCACCCCGAACTTTATCCCACTTCCCTTCATTCTGACTTCCCTTTCCATGGTTGGTGGTCCCTCTGTCACCCTACACCAACGCAAGTCTTACTCATCCTCAAAAGTCCCAGTGGCCAGAACCCTCCCTCAGGGTGTGGAGGACAGAGGGACAAAAGCTCCTGGTCACAGTCCCTCTCCGCTCAGGGTACCTCCCACCCGCTGCAAGTCCTCCAGCCTACTCACTAACCCCTGCCTTCCCTCTGCCCCCAGATCAAATCCCAGCAGAGCGAGGTAACCCGCATCCTAGATGGGAAGCGCATCCAGTACCAACTAGTGGACATCTCCCAGGACAACGCCCTGCGGGATGAGATGCGAGCCTTGGCAGGCAACCCCAAGGCCACCCCACCCCAGATTGTCAACGGGGACCAGTACTGTGGGGTATGGGACTGGGGTTTGGGGGTGGGGGAGTGTTGTAGATGGACTCAGGCCAGTCATACCTGAGACAAAGCACCAGCACTCAGGTGACCACCTCTCTCATCCCCTCCCCCAGGACTATGAGCTCTTTGTGGAGGCTGTGGAACAAAACACGCTGCAGGAGTTCCTGAAACTGGCCTGAGCCAAGCCCAAGCTGGCCAACTGCACTCCCTCATCACATTCCCCCAACCCCCAGCCATTGTGGGCCATGAAGGACCTTGTGACCAACTAGCTGTTATTCCTAACCTTCTGACCTTGGAGCCCCATCCCCCAACCCAAGCCTCTCCTCCTCCCTCTAACTGTAGCCCCCTCTCTTCATTCAGAGGCAACATTCCTTACCCAGTAGTCTCAGAAATTGTCTTAAGAAACAGCCCAAGTGCTAGCTGTCTCAGCCTGGCCCTGGGACAGCCACCCTGCCTGGCACTGGCTGATGGGCACCTTTGTTGGTTCCATTAGCCAGGGCTCTGCCAAAGGCCCCGCAATCCTCAACCTGGGAGCACCCTAGAGACAATTAAATGTTCCATTCCATTGGTGCCTTGTCTGTTTGGTGTGGCCTAGACACCCTGAGATCCTGCTCTGAGCAAGTAGGGTAGGTATAAGTATGCTGGTGCTATGCTCCTGTGGGCAGGGCAGGTCAGTTGAGCTGTCCCCCTTGTGGCACTTGTGTGTGACAGTGCGTTTGGATATATGTCCAGCACACACTTAACTGTGTGGACCAGTGGTTTCTGGAAACTGGGTGGGTTCCCTTCCAGTTCACATGTATGTGATGGTTTCCATGACACATCTGTCCCTTGGTGTGTACTGCGCATTTGCATGCCTGTCAGTAATGTGGCGGGGCCATGTGGCCGCCTGCCTGTGCTCCAGCAGATTGGCTAAGTGTGGGTGTGTCATGGGAATGGGTACACAGCTGCAGTTCTGCCAATTTGGGGGCAGTGGCTTTGTGCACAGTGTTGAGGAAGTGTCCCCATGTACTTGTGGTTCCGTGCATATCTGTGCACAGGTATCTACTGGCTGCACATGAGGCTCTGCTGCCCCAGCTGAGCCTGTGCTGGGGGCGGCCTTCCCTTCGCTGGATTGGCTTAACCCTTCTGTGGAGAAAGAGGAACCTAGAGGACAAAGACCCAGTGGCCAGGCCTGCCAGCTAGGGCTCGAGTTACGGGCTGGTAGGCACCGCCCCCTCCCCCAGCCCAGCTGGGCCCCAGCCTTCAGCTGGGCTGCCCCACAGTGGAGCCTCACAAAACAGCCAGTGTTGGGGGCGGGCACTTTATTCGGATTGGGGGCTGGGTTGGGGGCAAGGGGCAGGCAGCAGAGCCTGGCATGCCCTCAGTAGCAGAGCTGCCTTGGGTACCAGTCCCGCAGCCTGCAGTGTGAGCGTGTCCTCACGGTAGACTGTGGACGGGAACGTACTGAGGATCTCGAAGGTGTTTGCTTCCACGCCTCTGGGGACCAGGTAGAACAGATCAGGTCTGGTCTTAGGATCAGAGACCCGCTATAGCCACCAGCCTGGCCCCGCACCCACCTGGCTTGTGCGAGGAGGGCACGCACATCACCAATAGTGTCCTCAGGCCGCATCAGCAGCAGAAAGGACTGCTCACCCGTCTCAGACTTGATGCGCAGCATGGCGTGCTGGGGTGCAGGCGACTCAGGAGACTCTTGGCTCCTGCGGGCCCAGAAGCCGTAAGTGCCCCCACAGCCCAACCCCCAAGTTTTCACCTGTCAGCTCTGCCCTCACCTCTCACGCTCAGCAGCCAAGGCAGGTGTCTCTACTGTGATCTCCTGGATCGGGACAGGCCATGGGCAACAGTTCTGGAAGGCATGATGGAGAGTGGACAGAGCCCCAAACCCTGCTAGTCACACCCCACCCCCACCCTTAGAGGGAACTTGCTCATGACCAGGAATTGATTAAACCAATGAGCCTAAGGGAGAGGTGGGGGTGTTCTGTGTAAAGGAGGGCGCAAGGAGAGGAAATGGAAGGGAAGCTTTGGGAGACTGCCCCATCATTCCCCCCAAGAAGACTTTAGATCCCAAAGTCTAGTGGGGGAGACAGAACCCCACACTGATGATGTCCAGGCTGGATGCTTAGCCCACTGTGGGTCAGGAAATGGAGAGAAGGGATGGATTCAGGAGAAATTCTAGGGATCAACAGATCAGGTAGAACTTGGCAATGTGGGACGGGGTAGAGGGACCTGGGAAACAACAGGTTCGGCCCCCCGAGCAAACCACTGCTCTGGTAGGCTGGGCCAGGGTTGATGGTAAAGCCCCCAAGAAGACTGGGGGAGCTGCCTTGGCCCATGTGGCTCAGCTGGTTGGGGCGCATGTGGGAGGCAACTGATCAATATCTCACATCCATGTTTCTCTCCCTCTAAAATCAATTTAAAAAAAAACCAAAATCTTACATTTAAAAAAAGACTGGGAGAGCTAGGGCTGGCCTCACCTGCAGGGTGTCCCGGATGGGGCCCCGGATGTCAATCACCTCCCCTTGACGGATCACACATTTGGGGAGCCTGTTCAGAAACTTCTCAGGGGTCATCCTAGAACCTGTGGGGATGTGGGGAGGGCATTGGGAGCTTTGTGGAGGGGAGGGACTGTGAGTGATGGTGGAGGCGGCCACCTGGACCTTGTCCTCACAGAACCCCCACCACCTGGCTCAGCCTCAGGGCCAAGCTCACCTGGGTGCTCCATGGTGACTGAGGGCCTTGGAATCCGATGCAGGCCCGTCACTCGGCCCTCACCTGGGAATGGGCCCAGCCCATTCTCTGGGTAAACCTGATTGCGCAGGTCACTCACCTGACAAGAAGGAAGGGAGACAGCAGCGGGACCAGTTCTTCAGCCCTGGTCCCACCCCCACCTGCGCTAGCCCAGGCCCCAGGAATAGGCCCGAGGGGTGGTCTGATGCAACCCCCACTTTACAAATGAGGAAACTGAGGTCCTGGGACAGAGCAAGAGAGCTGCAGTTCATGCTCTTGCATACCTGGGCCCCTGCAAGCCCTCACCGGAGCCAGAATACTGGCATCCTCCTCAGAAAGGCCTTCAGGAGCCCACAGGGAGGGGAGGGATGAGGGCGTTAGGAGAGGGCAAAGCCCCTGCTACGTATAGTCCGCAGTGCAGACCCCACCATTGCACATATCACCTCTCTTGGGCACACCTCCTGGGCCCCTGTCCTGGCATGGACCCCCAATCATGACTCACTATTTTCCAAGCCATGATGGCACACACTCCCTCACATGCCCTCATTGTGGAACTAACTAACACACCACCCTCTGGGACACTGCCTCATGTGCTCCCATCTCAGTACCTTTCATCATACACACCAGCAGGGGGCCAGCTCCATATCATGTCCTTTAGTCCCAATATTTGCACTACCTTCCATCCAAACCAGATGGCTCCAGCAGCCCAGCCACTTTTGCATAGACTCCTCAGGGACCCCCAGGCAGTCAAGTCCCAAACGCAGGAGGGGCAGTGGTTGAGGGCTGTGCCTTTAGAGTGCCAGCAGGGGGTGCTGCCTGCTGCTTAGCTACAGCTATCTTGGCTACTATGTCAACTGGCCATGGCAGCCTCCCCACTCCCTTCTCAGCTCAGCTACAGGCTCACCTTCCTCCTGAAGGTCATCAAATTGGGGTCCCCTGAAGTAGGGCATTTGCTTCGAGCCTCAGACTGGGCGATGCCTAAGGAAGCTGTTTATCCCCACCACCTCCCAAAATCCCCACACAGGGAGTAGCTGACTGGTTTGAGGAGCAGCTTATCACCTTAAAGGGGACCCCATCAGGGTACAGGCGCTGGAGCTCTGAGGGGAAGAAGCCATCCAATATGTCTCGGAGGCAGCTCTGCAGGGGGGAGAGGAAGGGTAAGGACTGGCTAGACCTGTGTGGTGGCCCCCACCCTACTTCCTGCCTGGATGGCAGGCCCCTGGCCTTGGGCTTACCCAATGGATCACACTCTAGCCCAGGACTTGGCAGGAATGGGGGTGGGGGCTCTGCAAGTTCTGCATGGGCCTGAGTGCCAGTAGGGGTTAGACTGGGCTCCAACATCTCCAACTAATGATGAACAGAGTAGGGAGCACCAGAGGCCTTCCCATCCCCCAACTCCTACCTGTGTGGAGGGATCATGGAATGGTCTGAAGGGCCCATCAAACATCATAATGCCATTCCGGTACAGCTTCAGTGGGATGGGCTCAAGGACATGGAGCTGTGCTCCGCCGGGCACTGACATCACCTGGGTGTCACTGTCTACCACCAGCTCACTGAGATCCTTCAGGCTGGCCAGCAGCCTGTCAAAGTCCACCTCAGGGGGCACCAATGAATCCCCTGGTAAAGAGGATAGACACCCATGAGTCTCTCTTCTTGGCTGTCATGTGTCCTAGCAGCCCTGGCTTCCATGTCCTCTCCCATGATGGGCAGTGGCTTTAGCATCTCCTTAAGTAACCACCTGCAGAGGAGGAAGGACAACTAACACTAGATAATAATAATAGCTATCTTTTGTTGAACATTAGGGATTTAAAAAAAAAAAAAATCTTTATTGATTTCAGAGAAAGGAAAGGAGAGAGAGAGAGAAACATCAATGAGGAGAGAGTCATTGATCAAGCCTGCAACCCAGGCATGTGCCCTGACTGGGAATTGAACCCTGATCCCTTGGATCCCAGGTTGACGCTCAACCGCTGAGCCACGCCCAGCCAGGCTGAACATTAGGGATTTAATATCTACTATTCCATTCTCTCTTCACTCCAACCCTATGCTGTAGGGCTATAAGCCCCATTTTTCAGATGAGAAAACTGAGGGTTAGAGAGTATTAACGACATGCCTAGGGATGCACAAAGTGGCAAGAGTAGGATCTGACCTGTCTGCGTCAGGCACTGGGTTAGCAGCGGGATTCTAAGAAGCCAGCTGGGAACAAGCACTCTGTCCATGCTAGTTATTGTTACCAACTCTACCTTGCAAAAAATGGACCTCAGGCCAACCCAGAGGCTATGAGGCAGGGGTTATTGATCTCCATTTTACACATGAGGAAACAGGCCCACAGAGATGAAAAATGGCTTGCTCCAGGCCCCCTGGCAAATTAGAGGAGGGGCTGGTTCTAGAGCCTGTTTCTCCCACCCATCTGCACTATCAGGAGAAAGAGGTCGGAGTAAGGACAGATGGCTATTAAGGAGGATGTTGGGACAGCTGCTGGACAGATGTGGGGCAGATCTTGGGTTGTGCAACTATTTCTGGGTCACAGGCCCCTTTGAGAATCTGACAGAAGCTCTGGCCTCCTATTCTGAAAAAATGTGTTGTATATACAGTTATGCATAAGCTTCAGGGGGTGGAGATGGGGTGGTGGGGCTGCCATGACAGATGCCAGAGCAGAAAGGGCAGAAGGCAGGTAGGAGGCTGGTGGGGGATAGGCCAGGGACCTGTTCTCAGTCCTTGAAGGGGCCTGGCTCTCAAGTCAGTCATCTACTGGGGTGTAATCCGCACCAAACAGTGACTTTCTGGGCCTTCTTAGAAGCTGTTTTTCACCAGGACAGCCAGTGCCGCAGGATGTGGGTCAGGGCTCTGGGGACCTAATTTCTTTCCCCACAGTGGTACAGTGGCTATACCGGGGAAGTACAGATGTGGGTGGCCATTTCCTGTTGCCTTTGCGCTGCTGAAACAGTAGGCTCCAGCTGTCCTTCCCCTCTCCCTTACGTTTCCTACTGTTGTAAGCACTGCACCTGCCCCCATCTCCCAGAGTCCCTGAGGTTCCCAAGAAAAATTCATAGAACACAGCATCCCTGGTATGAGTCAGAACCATGGCAAGACACTATTTTCCTGTAACGAGTTTCAGAACACTGGTAAACCTAAAGATAACAGTAGAAGAGCTCATCTTCAACATCTGCCCTGGTCCCTATATTCTTATAGATGGGGAAAGTGAGGCCTAGAAAGGCCAAGCAGACCTCACCAAGCAGAGCCAGGAGGACCACCAGATATGCTCGCTGCCTGCTAATCTAGCTGCATCCTGGGGCCAGAGCTTTTTCTGGGAGCTGATGGGACTTGGGGTGGTTGGCAGGGCAAGGGGCAGGCAGAAGGGCATGGGAGGATGCCAAGAAGAAATGAGAGGGAAAGTTTGCTGACAAAATCAGCCCGAAGGCTCTTGGTAAGTGGGCTAGTGAGTGGAGAGATGAAAGCAGGTGGTCCCGGCAGGTATCGGATGAAGCACAGCAGAGGTGAGGCAAAGAGCCCATGAGAAGGAACCTCAGCTTTGGGCAAAGCAGGGCTAAGAGAATAAGGCAGAAAGCCAGTCCTGACCCGCACACAGCAGGCAGTGCTCAACAGAAGCCTGACCCAGTGCAGCCAGGTCACCAGGGGGCAAGGCAGGTCAGAGGCAAGTGAGGCATTCCCTCTGTGAGCTGCAGCTTTCCTTTGCATGGAATGGGTAGATAATGGGAACCATCGTCCTGTCCACAAAATCCGAAGTCTACCAACTATAGCAATGACTCAATGAGTGTTTACTTCACTCAAGCACCAGAGGCGGGTACTGCCACTCCCATTCTACAGATGAGGAAATCCGGCCTTGTAAGGCAACAGGCCCAGGGTCCAGGTGACTCTAAGTGACCATGCACACTGCCTCTCAGTGTTGGTTCTTTGGTCACTGCTCACTGGGGTGCCTTTCCAAGGAGAGGTGCAATGTAGCAAGATCATCTTTGAGGCCTCATTCAACTTTGAGGACCCATGATTTTATTAAAAAGGGTAGTAGGTAGGCATGGAATCAAGTCCAAACTCCTTAGCCCAACTCTGGAAACCCTCAGAGCCTGGGATCCCCAGACTCTCCTTAATGTGGTCCCCCCACATGCTCTGGAGCCACAGTGCCAGTGCTACTGCTTCCAAGCTGTGTGACCCTGGGCAAGTGGGCCAACCTCTCTGTGCCTCAGTTTCCTTTTCTATAAAATAACAGTTTCCACTTCACAGGGTTGTTTGAGGAAGTGCCTGGTAGGTGACTTGCTGTCACTAACCCCCATCCTCTTGCTCATTGCTGGGCTCAGGGTGCTCTTTCACCACCTACTCTGAGAGGTCTTGCTGGAATCCCCAACCCCTGAGGCTGGGCTCCTGTTCCTCCTGGGTTCCTGGAGCCCATGAACCACTCCCTTAGCCCGTCACAGGCTACTGTCATTTTGTTTGTTTGACTTTCCAACCACACCAAACACCACTTTTTTTTTTAATCTTCACCCAAGAATATCCTTTTACTGATTTGAGAGAGGAAGGGAGAAAGAGAAACACCAAAGTGAGAGTGAAATATCAATCACTTGCCTCTCGCACGCGCCCCAACGGGGTATTCAACCTGCAACCTGGGTATGTGCCCTGACCAGGAATCAAACCCGTGACCTTTTGGTGTATAGGAGGACACTCCAACCAACTGAGCCACACTGGCCAGGGTCCAAACACTTTTTGAACCCAGGCCAAAGCATCCAGCCCCTCGGCCTGGCTGAGAGAAGCTGCTCAAGAAGCATATATTGGATCCATCCCTTCATCCTGCCATCCAGCAATTATGTCTGGAGCACCCATGCTCTGGTAGGCCCCAAGAACTATAGCAATGCCCATACCCAGAGTCCTGCCCTCCTTGGGCTCATACTTGAGTGAAGGAGACAGGGTGACAAACAGTGACAATGGCATGTAGTAAGTGCCATTGTGGGGACTGTGGAGCCCAGAGGAGGGCCACACCCTGTCACTGTCAGCAGGTGAGTGGCGGGCCTGCATTGGACTGATTCTCCACACCTTCACTGGGACAACCATCAGCTGCCATGAAATGCCAAGGCAGTGCCCAAGGCACCCCAACATGCCCCGTCCCCACCACCTCAGGCAAAGGCTGTAGAACAGGAAATGGACCCACTATTTCCACAAAGCTGCAAGTCACACCCTGCTCTGGGGATTTTACCTACATTCCCTCTGCTCTGCCAGGGCCACCACCAAATCCCTGGCCCCTGCTGTTGAGTATTGCTGTCTGCTTGTCCCAACATGCTCTGACCACCAAGGCCTGGGCACCTGGGCACCACTCACCAATCACATGTATGTGCACATGCCCTGACCTATGGGCAAAGCACTGTGCTGGGCACTCCGGGGCATCGCAAGGCTAAGCACAATTGGCTCACGGTCATTGTTCATCTACCAAGCGTCAGCCTTCAGGAACACTCCACATGCACTGTATTTGATACTCTCAGTGGCCTAGGGGTCAAGCATCCCAGATGAGGACTCGCATGCACAGCCCCTTCCCATGTGCCAAGGGGCAGCTGCAGGCGGCCCAGTGCCTGACACAGAGCAGGCACTCCATGAGCTTCAGAGGGGAGAAAGGGGGCAAGGCACTTCAAGGGACACAGCACTGGCCTGGGTGGAAAGTGGGGGTAGGGAGGAGCCCAGCCTGCCTGGGGTCTAGGTAAGGCCACTTCCAAGGGCCCAAGGGCAGCCTAAGGACAAGCAAAGATACTGCAGCCCATGGAGTCTGGCTTCCTGAGCAGGGGAAGGAGAGATTCCCACTCAAACATAGAAGCCTGGGTTTTGGGAGGAAGGGTGGTAGGGGGAGGTGGTGGCTGGCAGGGGAGGGGGAGATGTAAGAGGACAGGACCTTGATGAGGGGTGGGGGAAATGAGGAGCTCAGTGGGAACAGGGGTCAGGGGTAGAGTTCACTGGAGCTCTCCAGCCCTGAGGCTCAACATCTGCTGTGCCCAGAGCAGGACTGTCCCTTTCATGTCTCAGAACACCCTGAAACACCTGGCACGCATCCCATTTGAGGCTCAATATACTGGTGGGAAGGGTGAATCACCCAGCCTGAGGCCAAGCCCTCCCAAGGCTTCCCCCCTGCTGAGCTCTCTTTCCCTAAGGCAAGAGTCCAGAGGGGGGCAGGGGAGGGGTTAGTGAGGAGCTCAGAGGGGGGTAAGGAAGGGGGTAGAAAGACCTGAGTTCACTGGAGTTCTCAGCCCTGAGACTCAACACCTGCTGTGCCCGAGTAGGACTGTCCCTTTCATGTCTCCAAATACCCTGAAGCACCTGGCACGAATCCCATTTGAGGCTCAATATACTGGTGGGGAGGGTGAATCTTCCAGCCTGAGGCCAAGCCCCCCCAAGGCTTCCCCCTGCTGTGCCCTCTTCTCTAAGGCAAGACGCCAGGCTCTAGAAAGTTGAATGAGCCCCAGTTCAGATGCCCTGGCTCACCATTTACTGGCCAGCTGCCCCGAGGCCTGTGGGGCATGGTGTCCATCCTACTGGAGGGAGAACCAGAGCATCAGGGCCAGCAAGAGGCCAGCTTTGTGGATCCGAGGGGCCCTTGGGGCAGGAGCAGGCTGGCATCTAGGGACAAGGCAGTAAGGGGAGGAAGGGGAGCAGCCAGGAGAGAGGGGTGTCCCAGGAGAAAAAGCCGCTACAATGAAAAACATGGTGCTCACCTGGCAAAAGAGCTGAATGGAGGTAACCACCTCCGTTCTTTGAAGAGAAATGGATCCAGCTTTCAGAAACAGCCAGTTAGTTCTATGGTCCCAAATCTATGGGGTGCATCCCTCTGCATATTAGCAGTCGAATTAAAAATAAAAAGTGGTGTCCTGGCTGGGTAGCTCAGTTGGTTAGAGCATCATCTCAATACACCAAGGTTGTGGGTTCAATTCTCGGTCAGGCCACATACAAGAATCAACCAATGGCCTGGCGGGTGTGGCTCGGTGGTTGAGCATCGACCCAGGAACCAAGAGGTCACGGTTTGATTCCCAGTCAGGTCACATGCCCAGGTTGCCAGCTCAATCCCCAGTAGGGGGCGTGCAGGAGGCAGCCCATCAGTGATGTTTCTCTCTCATCCATGCTTCTATCTCTCTATCCCTCTCCCTTCCTCTCCCTCTAAAAATCAATAAAAACGTATTTTTTAAACAAATCAACCAATGAATGTATAAATAAGTGGAACAACAAATTGATGTTCCTCTCCCACCCCCCCCAAAATCAATTTTTTTTTTAAAAAGTGGTGAGTCCCATAGAAGCAGGTAGATTTCAATGGTCTGGCTATAAATGAACCCGGAAAGGGAGCCCAAAGAGGGGGCCGAGCCTGGAATTGAGGGCCAGCTTCCAAAGCAAAGGGATTGCTTTTAAAGGCAACAGCTTTTGGATGGATGATATTTTGTAAACTATGACGCCTGAGAAAAATGAGGTCTTATTATATCTTATATCTCTGTGTCTTTGAAAGAAGAGCAAGCAGAGTCTGAGGCAAGACCAAGGAAGAAAGTGGCAGCAGGTTAGGTGGTCAGTGATGGAGGCAGAGGCCTTCCTGGCTGCCCTGTGTCAGTGGCAAGGTGTGGGATGTCTCAGGGCCCCTCGTGCTTGGTGGCAGAGGCATAAATGGCTTCTGGACAGCTTCTGGCCTAAAGAAAGCTCTTGGAGCCCTGGCCGGTTTGGCTCAGTGGATCGAGTGTGGGCCTGAGGACTGAAGGGTCCTGGGTTCTATTCTGGCCAAGGGCACATACCTTGGTTGCAGGTTCAATCCCCAGCCCTGGTCAGGGGAGTGTGCAGGAGGCAACCCATCAACGTGTCTCTCTTACATTGATGTTTCTCTCTCTCTCCCCCCCTCCCTCCCCCCTGCACTCTCTAAAAAAGCAATGGAAAAAATGTCCTCAGGTGAGGATTTAAAAAAAAAAAAAAGTCTTGGAAAATTCCCTTTGTAGGGGGCTGAGGGTGAACCTCCTACTCTACCTGGCTTCCAGAACTTCTTGGATGTCATCCAGTTCCTCTTTTTATCCTCTGAGCCTGTAATGTCCTCCAAGTCCTCCTGGTCCATGGGCTCGCCCACCCACTGCAGACCATAGTCACCGAGGAACCGCTGGAGGGGGAGAAGCCAGGGGCACTGTCAGCTCAATCCCTTCCCAGGAAAGAGGTGGCATCTGCCCAAGTCCCTAGCCTCAGGCCTCAGCTCCCAGAGCTGACTGGGCAGAGGGGATGGGCTTGGGGGTCTTGGCCACTTTCTGGCTGTAAACTTAGGCCACTTCATCTCCTAGAGCCTCAGGCTCCTCCTTATACAGTGGCAATGACAGCACCTGCCCCATAAGTTTGTGAGGACTCAGCAAAATCATGTCAAGTACCTAACACAGTGCATGGCACAAGAGCTCAATGAAGACAGCCGTTATGGTGGTGGGGAACCTTGTGGGTATGGCCTGAATGGGAGGAGGGGCAGGGACTGAGGGAATGTGGCCACCCACACACAGCCTCCCCAGGGCGGGTCGCAACATCTCTGCCACAGGAAAACTTCTGAATTGTCTACACTTCCTGTTGCTAGTTCCTCATCTCCCTCTCTCTCCTCCACCCACTGCTTGTGTGCAGCCACCAACAACCTGCCCGGTGCCAAACCCAGGGGGCACACCTCTGTCTTCGTCTCTCGTAACACATGTTGTTTCTTTTCAGTTTCACTTTGCCAACCGTCTACACTTAGGTGTCTAACAAGTGCATCTCCAAATGCACCTGACCCAACCGGTAACCACTCCCTGCCACCACCTCCCAAACCTCTCCCCCTCCAGGTCCTCTGCATTCAGTCAACAGCACCCCCTCCACCTAGACCTCATCTGTGACCCGGTCCTCTCTCTGCCTCCCCAAGATCTTCAAGGCCTGTGGGCTCCAGCTCCAAAGCAGGCTCAGAACCCATCCACTCCACTCCATCTCCTCTGCTGCCACCCTCGTTCAAGCCTCGCCCATCTCCCTCTTGGACAATTCAAACTGATCTGCCTTCCCCCACCCACTCCTCTAACTGAACCCTTCCCGTGGTTTCCCATTCCTGCCGAAGAGAATCCAGCCCCACACCGTGGTGAGCCCCCGTGATGTGATCCTGCAGCTCCGTCTGCCTCTCCCTCTTGCTCCCACACCCACCCACCACAAGCCAAGTTTCTATGGGGGAGGGGGAGTTTTTTGTCTCTTCAGCCTAGATTCTCTTTCCCTGGTCCCCTCACATCCTCTGGATCTCTTGCCCAATGTCACCCCGCAGAGTGGACCAAACCCCACTTAATCTCTATTGTGTTACACACTGAAATCTTTCATCATATGGCTGTACTTGTGTATCTTTCTGTGTATTTGTTTATGTTTCTGTCCCTTCCAGACTTTCAGCCTCATGAGGGCGGGACATCTACATCCCTGGGAAATAGGAGATACTTTGTATGAGTTTGTTAAATTAATGAAGCAATAAATGTGTGAATGCTGTGAACATAGGGGCTGCAATATCCTCTGCCCTGAGCCTCTGGGGTGCAGCCCTCACCCGCTGTGGCAGCTGCTCAGAGAAGCCCCGCAGGCTGCCAGCATTCCCAGCACGCTGCTCAGGGAGCAGCTGGGTTTCCCCACAACCCCAGGTATGAACAGGCCTGGGGGGGAAGGGCCCTCAGCTGTGGCCACGCTTGTGGGTTTGCTGTTGAGTTCTTAAATTAGGTTGGGGCTTTGGAAACCAACCCTGCATGGAGAGGGAGAGGTTAGAACCTAGGAAGAGCTGGTGGGGCCAGTGAGGGAGTGGGGGACACTGACAAAGCATATTCCCTAGGACCCTCCCTTAAATGTAGGGTCCCTCCTATTTGGGCCTTGCTGTATGACTAGGGGGAAGGAAAGTGACACAGGGTGACTGAGATGCCACATTCAGAGGCAGGGGATTGCTGTCACCAATTTGGTAAACATACATGGCCAGGTACCATGGTGTACAGCAATGAACAGGAGGAAGGTGGTCCCTCCCCTCCTCATGGAGTTCATGGTCCCCCAGGGGGAAGAGAAATGAGGCACTAAGGAAGCGCAGGACAGAGCCTGCCCTGGTCAGAGTCGGAGAGAGGCCCCTAGGGAAGGGCCCCCACCTTGATTTGAGACCAAGGATGAGTGAAAAGTCATTAGGGGAAGGTGAGAAAAAACATTTCAAGCAGAAGGATCAGCATGGGCCAAGGTCCTGAGGTGAGAAACTGCTCAATGTGGTCAAAGAACCAGAGGCAGGGCCCATGGTGAGGGAAGAGTGGTTCAAGGTGAGACTGAAATGGAAGCTCAGGCCAGAAGGAGGAGTGTGCCCCACCTTGGAAACCTTTCTGGCTCTTTAAACTCCAGGTCAGTCCTGAGCAGGGAAACCAGAGCAGGGCCCAGTGCGGGATATGTGGCGAGGGGGCCAGAGAGGTGGGCTCTGACTCAGTTCCCGAGGGGCAGACAGCCCTGGCCACCGCCTCTCTCACCTCCATCTCGTTGACCTGCTGCTGCAGCTGCCGGCACATCGTCTCCAGCTCCTCTTGCCGCTGCAGGGACATCTGGCCTTCAGGAGAGATGGGAGGGGTTCCACTGCCCCAGCACAAAGGCTGCCAGGCTACCTAGACCAGAGCTCTGCCCTGACGGTCATCTGAAGCTGCCCCTTGAGAACTCAAGGGATCCCCTGAGGACCACCTTGAGCCTCTCTCCCTGACCCTGACCAGGGAGATCCTCCTGACTCTGAAGTCCCCACCCTCCTGAAGTGAGGCTCCTGGGGAGGCTGCATTTCCTCCAAGCTTTTGATGGAGCGTCCTGTGCTCAGGGCTAGGCTGTCTACATTCAAGGGACTCAGTCCCACGTAGGAGGGCACCATCCTGAATGTGTCCCTGCCCCTCTGGGTTCAGCTGTCCTGACCCCACCACAGGATTCAGCTTGATGTCTTGGAGCCCCGATGCCCAGGGGTCACCAGCCCAAGGGAAACACAACAGGAGGGCCGAGCAGCCCACTGGGAGAGGTTCTTACCCTTGTGCTCCTGGAGGGTCTCCACCAATTCCTCCAGGGCCCGTATTTTCTGATCCTGCAGCAAGAAGATGTGGGGAGGTGGGGCAGATAGGCAGACAAGACATGGGAGGGGGGTAGACAGGCAGACAAGACGT